CCGCAGGGAAGGGGCGAGGAGACGGAGGGCTGCGGCAACCAGCCGAGGCGAGGAGGAATTCGGCTTCACCTGGACGGCGGTCAGGGCAAACCGCCGGCAGCCTCCAGACGCAGTACCGGTACCGGCCCGGCCGAACGGCGCCTTCCCGGGGGTGGGCTGGCCATGGCTCAACGAGCGGATTACGCCACGAGCCGCTGAACTGCACCTTCACGAATGACACAAAATCCTCCCAGATACAAACCAGAAACATCCCGAGGTAAATCCGGGGCTCCCGGTCCTGCTGGAGGCTGCAGCGGCACCGCTGACCCGCTGGAAAGGGGCCACGCGGACTGTGTTCAATTAGGAAAACTCCTGGTAGTATCAGAAAGAATTAAAACATTTATTGGGCATAAATATATTACATATACACTACAGATACAGTTAAGTCTTACATACATAGGGTAGTATTTGCAAAAATCTATACATTAAAATTGATATGGCAGTTTTAATACAATGCATATGAAATAGTCTAAAATTTACAATACAAGAAAACTTACGATTATTTTTTTTTTAAGTTGAAAAGCTTGGAATGTATGTTCCCATAGTGAGGTAAAAACATCTTATTTTTTTCAATTTAAAGAACTGTGCAAGGACAAGGTTCATACACATTCAGTTAGGGCACTTTTCAATCGTGACACTGAATACTGAGCTACTGTAGCCAACAAACAGGGTTAGAAAACGTTTCAAGTTCGTAAAGAAAAAGGCGGAACAATATAAAAACATCTCTCTCCTTCCTTAAGGGTTTTAAATATTTAGCGTTTCATTCTACCTTCGCTGTTGGGAATTTCTGCTGCATTTTGCGAATTCGCCTGCTGGATCCGAGGGCGTCGCGACGCAGGAGAGACGAGGCAGCGGCCGCGGGAACGGCAGCCAGAGCAGGAGTGCCTTAAATCCCCTGCTCCTCTCTTTGACGGTAGCACAGGAAGGACAATCAAATCACTACGGCAGAATATACAAACTAAAAGACTCTCAAATTAACTTACTTGGGGCCTGTCCCAACTCCTCCAGAATGCCTTCTCTGACCACCTCAGGGTTGGACCGGGCGTTCTCGTTAGCGTGATTACGAGGGACACCAAACAAATCGGCGATGACAGAAGCGCTGCACGTGTAACTCACTGCTCCTCTCTACACTTCTGCTCGCTGCTTTTAGTATCATTTGTATTTCAAACTTTCAAAATTGATCGAATCATCTAGGGCAAGGTGGTTTGTGTTTTTCTTTTTTTTATTAAAGCAGTTTGTTTTTTTAAAAGGTGTCAAGCTTGAATTTCGTAGCAGCACTGCTAAAACAATATTCCAAAAATAAAAAAGGGAATCTATTCAAATTTCTGGGTTTCCAAACTAGCGGTCTTTTCATTGCTTTAAAAAATACACTCTTTTTTTCCCTCCATTGAAAACAGCTGTATATGCTTTGCTCACAAAATACGGATGCAAGGTCACAAAGTTTCGTATCACAAATAAATTTAAATAAGATGTAAATAAATTTGACAAGCCATGACTTTGGCAAAAACAGAAAAATATATATATTTAGCTCAATGCCATTAGTTTGCAAGGCTAAATTAAACTAATTATAGTCAATAACAAAATACAGAACATTTCTAATATTTGCTACATCTAGAGAGGCACACAGAATAATTCATTGATCTTAGCACTTTCTTTCCAGAGATGATTATGTTTTTGGATACATGTAAACGTTTGAATCACTGATCATTTTTTTTGGCATTTAATGTACTAGATGCTCCCATCTTCAAAAACACAAGAAAATGTAAGAAGATTAATAATACTAGGAATGCTGCCAGGTAAAAAGTTGACCTAAAGTACAACAGGATAAAACAGACAAAATATAACATGCTACGGGGAGGGTGAGGAGGGGGATTAGTACATAAGTACACTTTTTATTTTTTATTTTTTTTACAATAAATAAAAGATTGCACTGTAATTGGTATTTAAAGTACTGTATGCAGTATATAGTATAAATAAACCTAAAACAAAAATAATGTTGTTTTTTCCCCATTACTTTGGTTAAGGGAATAGTATGCTAGTACAGGACACTGACTCTTAGACGATGGAGACAGAGCACAAAATAGCTAGGACAAAAGCAAAACCAAGTAGCAAAAATATACAAAAACAAGAGGCAGGGAAATACACTGTGTCTGTTGCACCCTTTTGGAATCTATTTGCACCTCCAGCTCATTTATGTCCCTGAGGTACTCGCAGAATGTTGACTTAACAGAAATAACCCAATGACTCGAGAGTTAAAAATCGAGTATCCTGACGGATTGCAACGCGTGCCTGGGAAGGGGCAGGCAGGAGCGGGGGACGCTCCCGTCAGAGCAGGGGCTATTCCTCTGCAGGGCTCTCCTCTGAATTTTGCCCTGTACCAGGTTATTTCAATTAGCCCTGGGGTAAGAACAGCGCAGACGCCCACTTAAGGTATTTAAAATAAACAGATCGAATTTCTGATACCTCCAAGAAAGTTCCATAAAACGGATACCCCTCCAAAAAACAGTAACAGTAAAAAGATCAACTGACAGCAAAGTTTGCTTACGTTGAGTGTAAATCTCACCTAATTCAGTAGAGGCAGTAAGCTGTCACCAGCTCCAATCATATAAATCAGGCTGAACATAATAGAATAATATCTAGTATTAGATTAGGAATAGTTATATACAGTGACAAACAGACAAGTTAAAGCAGCTTTTAAATAGCTGAACATGGGAATAACTAACTATTGCACAATGCCCTCTTACTTAAAAATAATGCTAGGAATCAAAATGGTAAAAAAAATCTATAATGCTTCATAATTTATACGCAGTTTGGTTATCTGATTTCTTATACAGGCAGTTTATAGTGTTGTAACTGTAAAAATAACAGATAATTAAAAAAGTTTTTCGACTGCAGGATATTGTTCCGATTTAAATGCACTAAATAGTTAAAAATAACAACTTTTATCTTGAAAAAACTGGGGCAAATGTAGTGAGTAATTCATAGGCAACATTGCTAATACTGTTCACGGAAAACCTGGTACTGTTGACTAACACTGTATTCTAGTCTTACCCCTATACACACTTGTGACTAATGTTTAGAAGGAAAAAGAAGAGACAAAGAAGTGACTCATGATTAAAATTTCCTAAATAGTAAGATAAAATAAGAGACTGTACGAACTTCAGTGAAAAAAACCAAAACAACATCAAAAAGGCAGATCGGTGACAATTTTGAAACCGTGAAGGAAAAAAAAAAATATCTTGCTTTTTGTATCTGGTTTGCTCATTTCTCCAGTTTGACCACTTCCTAGTTTTGAATTTCAAAAAGGTGCATCAAAACACTGATTTATCTTTCTTCAAGCTAGAACTGTAAAAACAAGAGAAGTATATAAAATGTATGGTAGAACAAAAGGATTTCAAAAAAAGGAGTATCTGAATAAATGTGTGGATTATAATGCGTAGCATTAGTTAAATTTGTATCTCAAACTTCCACTGAATTATCTACTTCATAAAGAAGTATTGTAATATACAGGCGAATATAATTGACAAACTTGCAAAGCCAAGAACAATGAGGGCTGCAAACTGTTCATCAGTAGGAATCATGCTCTTTATCTTAGGATCATCTATGCTTCCCATTTCTCCTGCAAGCATGATCTCATTTCGCTGAAGCATAAAGGCAACGGATGGGCTGAAAGGTCCACTAAGTTCCTGTGAGGTATCCAAGCACCGGCGGCAGACGCAGACGCGAAACCGATAGTCTGTGTTGACTTGAAGGCCTGAGATGTGGAATGTGGTCTCCTCTCCCTTGTACACCTTCAAAACATAACAGCAAGCACAGTCAAATACAAAGAGCAAGAGACAACATCCTCCTCCTTTCATAGCAACAAACAATTTAAAAAAAGTAACGATGTCAGATTTTGCAAGGATTTGAGCCAGAAAGTTAGGTCCAGTCTGAGTCTCTTAAGGAAACACTTTCGCAGCTCTCAAGGGACAGAACTCACTGGGTCAATGCAGGTTTGGAGAAGCAGAGGCATGTGGAGGACTATGTAAGAGATGTCTGACCATGAGAGGTCTCAATACAGAGTGTTCCACAGAGTCAATGCACACAAGGACAGCCAAGACTTCAGACAATATATCAACCGTAAGACGTACTCATCTTCTGTGGGTGTGATAAATACAACAAACATATTTCTGTACTCTTAAAATGTGACTACATGCCTAAAACACGTCTAAGACATAAGAACAGTGTTCGTCCCCAAAAGGAAGAAAACTTTGCAAAACAAGGTTATTGAAAGACATTCACTGTATAATGATAAAATTGGTTACAAATATAATTTTAATGTACTTTCCCTCACATTTCTCTCAAGAGCCAGCAATCTTGCCAGAAATTACACTTTCAGAATTGTAGAAACAATAAAATATTAAGGTATAAAAAAATGCTCCTCTTGGTTGCATTGTATTTGGTTCTTTAGCAATCCAAACCCATCACGTATTTATGTTAATCAAATGTAGGTACTGCATGACTCAGAGAGCATGAGTCACAGTATGAGAAAGAAGAGAGATAACTGAATATCTAAGAGACAGTTTTGTAACTTAAATGCAAAGAGACCACTGTAAACATTTATGAACTCTGACAACAAATAACCAGTCAACAATTTATATAACAGGGGGTTGTTGAAACTGGTATTTTATGAAATGAAAAATATTTCATAAAAAGCCTGTGTCTGCTGGAAACAAACCATCCTGAACTTCAGATACCTCTTCCTCTGCTCATTTAGCCGGTTTCCTTCTCCTCGCTGTGGGAGCGGAAGGCTGAGCGCGTCTCTGCCCTCCCAGAGGTAAGAACTCAACTTAGAAAAGGGTAACAAGAGGGAAATTAAACCTGAGCCGATAGAGGACTTCCTGTGCGTTACTCTGGAGTAAGAAATACAGGAGGAAAAAGAAGAGACACGCTCAGCTAAACACCACTTAAAGAGTCTAGCTTTCCTGCCCATGCTTGCCCCTGAGACTCATCCCTCAGTTAAAAAGCCAGTCACTGATTCCTTGAGAAGGTCTGGGACAAAGATGAAGTTTTTTCTTTCATTTGTCCTCTCCTCTCCTTTTAAACTTCCACAGTTTTTCCAAATACAGTTTGAATAATGGCAACTGAGATTTCCAGGCTAAGTAGAAGTCCTCTAACTGGCTCAGGTATGTTGCCCCCCAAGGCATAAATCAAGAAGCAATATTTAAACAAAGTTATGTTGCCCTCCTCAAGTACGCTCAGCAGCCACAGGAATTTCACTCTAGCTCAAGTGACAACGAATTCACATCGCAAATCTCTGTGATTGACCACAGCTACGCACTCTCGCCTTGTTGTGTTCGCTTGTCTTCCCCAAGCCAACGAGAAGTGAGTCATGAAGTTACAGTAAGACAGTAGTTGCAGGGAAACAAAACTGCAAGTGCTGTAGCGATCCACAGAAATAACGTGAAGGTTGAAACATCTGTTTGCAAAGCTTATCTCATCCCAAGAACATCTCTGCCACTCTGTTTTCCAACGGCAATTCCATTTCTAATACCTACCTGTTGTGTAGCAACTGTCCTCCATCAATGCTACATCGTGTAGGTGGTTCATACTTCAGTTTACTCCCAAAAGTAAATGATCACGCAGAGAAAGGTTGCATGCCTTTGGCACATAAATGTAGGTTCAGCGAGTAACTAAAAAAGGATGTGTTCTTCCACAGGACCAGAGTCAGGATTCTTCTACTTGCAGGACTTACCTAACTCCCATTTCTTTAGATGCTGAGACGTGATAACTCAAAGAATCTATCCTCACAAAACAACTGTAAGCAAGGTATGTTTTCTGGTGCTATTGTAATTATTAGTTTCATTTAAAAACGTATCATCAGAAGTGCTCTACATGCCTTTGCCATAAATGAAACTTTGTAACCAGTATGACCACTTCTAAACCAAAATAAAAATCCGGTAAAATCCAAATAACGACATTTAATAAAAATTTTACAATCTAATCTTTATAAATTAAATTTAACAGATACTAGGGAGAGGATATATACAACCTGTCTTTGCATTGAAAAAACTTGTCCAGTTAATTGTTTTTTTACTTGTTTTGTTTTGTCAGGGTGATGAATACCAGTCTAACTGGAGGCTAAGTTTGGCTAAATCAAAGACCTGTATCTTCATTACAGTCTAATAAATATAGATGACCAAGATCACTCAAGCCAGCTAGTCAACAGCACTTCTCAGAAAAAGGCCAGACACTCCAGTGAGAGAAGACTGCATCATTAAAGTTTGAAAAACAGTCAAAAGTACACTGAATATGTGAATTAATATTCAGAGTATTTAGCACCAGCGGATCTATGTCCTTTCTCAGTAACAGGTAAAAAATTCTTGTGCTTCGTTATCATTCACTTCCGACAGGAGCCTCTGTATTCTCCACAACTGGCTGCAGCGAGTGTCTTGGAGAGACGACTGGCTCCAGCTCAATTTTGCCTTCAGTATCATCTGTAGGACCAGCTAAGCCAATGCAGGATGCCCTCAGCACAAAGATACATGCTTGGTTGTGAACACAGTTACACTCTGTGAATGGACTTCACATACACAACATAGGAAAAAATAACTGGCAATTATGCATGAGGTCTTTAAATTTGCTAAACAAAAGCAAAACCAAATATAATTGCATAAAACAGCGTATTTTTTTATATGTAGCACACTATGCTTTGGTGGCTAACAAGTCAAAGTAAAGTGGCTATCCGATTTATCACTTTCAGTTCCTAAAAACAGGTTTTCTCTTACCTGAGTATATAATAAAAACACAATAAGCTTTTTGCCTGGCTCCTTCAATGAAAATATATATCATCACAAGTAATAAACTGCTGCTGAAGCCTCTTACAGCATTTGATCCTACTGATCAATCTCCACAGCTCAGAAAATTCCTGTAGGCAAGTATTTCTCAAATTGCACCAATGTAATTAAATAATTCCAACCCCCCTCCACCTTTTCCAATTAATAATTATAGCCACAGTTGCACTATAAGCAGCACGCTGGAAAGCATAAGATAACCGTACCAAGTTGTTGCACTCCATTGCAACAACCAGTGTATTTAATAATTAATAAACCCCTATTTTGTATGGTGATAAGAAGATCAAGAATCAGAAACAGGTTTCAATCTATTTTAGAAAGCATGCCCTCTTGAAAAGTTTAATTTCTTCTAAGTCATCTGACAGATTCTCTTTAAGAAGCTGGCTTACGGTTTTATACAAACTCAAAATCAGCTTCACTCACTCCACTGTTGAATTGCTCATAAACCCTTAAGAGCTGTGTGGACAGCCTTGGCTCCTAAACAAAGCAAACAAGAGTCCCTCAGATCACCTTCCGTAAGGTGGGCTGAGCTGAAAAACTCTCATGAAAGGAAATTAATTGCTCCATCTCATGACACAAAACTGGCACCAGGAGGCAGAGAAAATACTCGATGCAAGTAGCGCTAGTAACGCCAACGTGTAGTGTACAACGATGACGTATTTTGGCATGCAACCAGTACCAGTGACTTTGACTTGCTATTCAAAATAGAGAAGGAAAAACAACTTTTTGCCGATTTACACAAATTAACAGTGCACTGAATGCATTTCAGCGATTGTGTGTCTACAGAGTCTGAAACAAACAAAAACCAAAGAAAATAAAAATTAGAGCTTGGTAAGACTGACAGGGTTCTCCCAGGCGACTACCTCTTGGTGCAGACCCCAGCAGGCTTCCCACTGCATTGCTGTTTTTTTGGTGGTTTTTTGTTGTTGTTGGTTTGGGTTTTTGTGGTTTTGTTTTTGTTTTTTTTACACACCCAGTGTATCCTACCCTAACCTGCCCATATCTTTTCTTCTTTTGGAAAGCATGTGGGGACAGTGTTCTCCCAGAATAGTTGTGTCAGAAGCTGAAGAAACACCATTGCCTCCAAATTCTCGGAAATTTCAAAGGGAGAACATTCTGCCTCACTGGCAAACAATTTAAGGATAAAGAAGCTTCAAAACTGAGCTCTCATTTTCCATGGACGGCTCTTACGAAGAGCTGGCTCCTTGGTGATTTGATCCCCAGGGCTGCTCAAGTAGGAAACTAAGGCTTAGGCTGCCGAGTGTTACCACCGTTGTCCCAAGCTTCAGCTCCTGCTAGTGCTGCACAGCCCAGACCACTCCCCGGGCTCCAGGTTAAAGCTATGTGAAGATGGAGATGATTTTCACACACCTGAAAGCTAAGTTCTGAGTAAGCTTTGCTAGATGAAAGTGCAAGGAACAGAAAGCCAAATCTGGGCCACCGGTTCCTGGAATCTGCCGTGATTTACATCCTGATTCGTAAACAAGGAAAATTTGATTTCCTAAAAAGAATCATCATATGCCATTGCTTTTTCAAGTATCCAAATAGCAAAAGCATATCACATCATACACCAAAAGGAACATGCCGCTTGAGAAACAGGAAAAGGAGTATTTCCTATTTTTTTTAAACACACTTTTTAGGGAGCTAAATTGTTATCTGTTTAGTTCCTGCAAATCCAGTTCTTCAGACACAATCCTCAGCCGAGAAATATTTACAACATGTTCTCCCAGAGGAGGGCAGGGATGGCTATAGCCCCAGCCTGAAAAAAAGGGCTTTTGAGGTTTTGTTTTTGTCCTCTGCCAGGTCAAATGGTGGAGGAGCGGTGGCTTTTGGGAGGCGGAGGGCTGCATACATCGGGCTACCGGGGGAGGGAGGCAGCTCAGGTGTGATGATCTACAGAGAACCATAGCTTTACCCGAAAGCATGTCGGTGGCTAGCGTTGCGGCAGGGGAAGGAAAATGCTGAAGTGATTTAGCTTACTACGTAAGTTAATGAAGATGATTCTTTTCTACAACTTGAATTTGTTTCTGTAACGTAAGCGAGGAGCAAGTACAGATCGGTGGTCTGCTCCTAGGTATCCTTACATCTCTTGAGAACTTCATCTCCAGGATGGCATAAACAGCAGTACATTAATAAGGAGCTCAAACTTTGAGAGTTAACAGATAAGACTTTGTTTCCTCCTATTAGCGTTTTATTTCATAATGAGTTTTCTATATTTATTCACTTTAGATACAAAACACACTAGACAGGTGTTACGATACCCTACTTCATACTGGTCCACAGGCAGTTCCAGAAAAATCAGTGCTACATACTAAAGAGTTATGCTGTGTGAATAAGGGAAGCGAGACATGGCCACTTATTTCAGCATGCAGACTACTTCATGCTTAGTCAGCACAAAGTGCCCAGGTGGATTTTTTTCTTTCTATTAATGAAATCAATACTGGAGAACATCGCATTCCGCACCTTCTGAAGGGCTTCCTAGCAAAGAGCTGGATCAAGATGTGGAACATAAGATTTTCCCAATTATTGGAATCTAGCGTCACACTTGTGCTGCCTGGGTAAGGAATTCTGTGAGCTTTCTTATCGAGACCAGGGAGACTCTGTGCTCGACGCCGTGCCACTGTGTGCGCACAATTGTTCCCCAAATAGTCACAGGATACAGCCACATTTTGAAAACTCAAACACAATCATCATTAAAAAGTTCTAACTCAGTTGTCATGATAGCATCTTCCTTTTCTAAGCTTTTATTTCGACGAAAAGACTAAATTCTACATAGTAAAGCATCCAACAGTCTTGTCAATAAAACACCATCACACCAGCTTAAAAAACATAACAGTATGAACACTAAGTCAGTATCACAAAAGTCATATTGTCATGTTCCTAGTAAGTCTGTCAGTATAACAGTATCTTTGTAAAATTTCCTGGGGGAGAAACGTAGACGTAGATCATTCTCCCATCCCTACACAAAAAGCAGATTAACATGCATGATCATCTTATTTCTGCTGTGCATCGTCACTTCTACAGATGGTAATGCTCAGTAAATGCTTTACCCTTAAATTGGTTTGTCCTGCTCCAGGATATACCTGCACATGAACTTACGCTCATAAGCTTTTACTCCTTTCAACACTGAAAGCAAGAATTAGGGCTTTAAGATAAAATGAGGAAACTGGTTTTGGTCACCTATCGGCTATATTCATCTGAAGTAAATCAACTGCGAGTAGACACAGAGATATGGCTCCAGGGGTTTGGAACATGTCTTCCTAGTTAAAACTGTTTAATGCCTTGCCTTAAACAGTTGCCTTTAAATTGCTGCAAATCAAGTGATCTGATTATTGACAGGATTACAGCCTTGTAAGAGAGAAACAGTTTCATATGTTCATTGGTTGAAAAGTTTCAATTTTAAGATGATTTTAAAAGTGGATTTTTATTCTATGAAACTCATCTGCATTTGGGCTGAATGCAAGACATGTCATCCTTATGGGTCCCTTCCAACGTGGGATATTCTATGTTGCAGAACAGACACAACTGTGTCCTGGAGGGTGAGTGAAGGGGAAAGCATCTGAGGGTGAGTGACCCTAACATGTGGTATTAAGTCCTGCACAGCCCATAAATAGCTTGAAATAGCTATTTGTTGCCTTTATTTCCATGTCAGCAGGGCATTAAAAATTACTTCATGCAGCTATCTATCTCCTTCTTATCCAGCTATGCTATCCCTGGATCTTGCAAAATGCACTGGTGACTGCTATAGAAACTCCACTTGCTTAAGATACCGTTCTTTCTCATGGGCATAATTAATAGCCCAAAAATCTACAATATTTTTCATTTGTGCAACCCTTCAAAACAATTTGCAAAACTTTTCTAATACAGTATGCCTCTTGAGATTCATACACAAAATACATATGTCATCTGCAGGGAACAAAACAGATTTAAAAGTAAATTTAGGATTTGGCCTTGAAACGTAATTAACGTATCACTAACATTACTTTTCAGCTAAATAGTAGCAAGTGATCAGACACATGTCACAGCAAAGGTAAAGTGAAATGCATTAGCCAGAAAATCACTGAAAGATGTTTATGTATTTTACCTCCTATTCACAGAATAGGAGCTAAGAGCACGCACATAGCTACTGCAGCTCAGCTCATGGACACTAAGTCAGCGATGTGGCCCAGTGCTGAGATGACACCCACATTCGTGATGAAGTTAAATCATTTTGATGGGCAAAACTGATTTCTGAGAAGGTGAAACAGTGGAACTCCCTCTTTTCTATGGCTGGTTATCAGCCAGCCCAACTACAGAAGTCACAGTGTTAGCTTTGAGCATCCCAGACGGGAGCTTCTTCCAGTGAGTCACTTGTGCAAACTCAAGCAAAACACCCCTCATCAGGCTCATGCTTCATGAGAAATGAAGATCTCCAGCGTAAGACCCTGAAGGTACTTTTGATTTCATTTATTGCTGTGTTTTTTCATACCACAATTTCTTGAATGTGAAGATTAAGCCACCACCTACCTTACAGGAACATGAAGCCATGCCCAATTCTCCCCAAGGTCATCCAGAACATTTTAAGAACTGAAGCTATGCTTACTAGAGCATGCGGAGGTTGTACGTCAAGGCTACTTTGTAAATCAGGCAACAGCAAAATGGGTCCACTTATCCACTTAGCACTGACATTATGAGGCCAACACAGTACACAGAGGTTTTATTACCTATACCAGCACTGAAAATGTTTCCTGACAAAAACAATAGGTAGGTTTCTGAATCTTTAGCATCCACATGAATTGTCTTGCATTTATGTTAGTTTTGATAATTAATTCACAGTAATACTCAAAAATAGACTGAAGAGGAGCAAAGACACAGTTGCAAAGAAAGTACTACTTTATTCATATTTTAGTACTAGCTTATTTATATTTTAAGAGTTTAATTTAAGGTTTAACATATCTCATTCCCTAATTTGGACTTACTCAGAATCTGCATGACAATGAAAGAACGAACAGGGAGAAGACGAGGCACAGATGAAGTGCACTGTAAATCACACAGTCAGAGGTATGATAAATGAAATAAAAGATCTAGCTGTAAATGAGCTGTTCTGTTTTGGGTGCTCTGTGGAAATGTCCACTTGTGATCTGTAACCAAGATAGGCACAGAAAGAAGCATCAGCCGTACTTCATTCACTTTGTTTCCACAGTGCAAGAAAGGACAGATTTTTCTGTGGGGCAGCTCATATACAGCAGTTACACATCCATGCATCAAAACCTTAGACAGGAATGGGATCAGGCTGAAAAAAACACAATTAGAAGTTGTGTACTTTACTGAAATCCTTGACGGAGGGTCTTGGAATTGGCTTAGCGAACGAGGAAAAGAATCTGCCTACTTCATCTTCAGACAATGGTTAGCACCAGCCAGTTCAGAAGAAAGCATGGGTGGACAGAATTGTAACTTTTCCAAGATTAGTTCAGTTAGAAATAGTGATTAACTACGGACAGAGCACAAATCACCCCAGTAAGATAACGACGTTCTATACACTCCCTTGGGGGAGAAAACAACCTATTACAGCCTTTAATTTTGACTTAGCCTTTACCAAGGTTCACCTGACACATAGCCATGGGGTGTAATTCAACACAATAGAAAGAAGCAGCACAGCCAGTGTTCAAAAACATTTCCATTATGTCATCAATTTAGCAATATTAAAATAATTTTCCTACCTGCTTGTATTCAGATTCTCTTCCAACCAGTACCTGCAGAACATAACCAACAGGATCTCCCTTCATGGGTGGGACCATTTCCCAGGTAATTTCACAAGCATTTCCTCCCAGCTGTGTCACTCGAGGGGCTACAATAAAATGCAATGCCTTAATGTTTGATATAAAGACTGCACTGAAATGTTGTTCATTCCATGTGCACTGTAATATATACGAGAACATCACAGGCGTTAGTAGCACATAATCTGCACTGTATTTATGCGGCCAAAACATCAAATTGCCATTGCTGCTGGATGAAAGAAGTAAAACTTCCATCACTCCAAAGTCTCATTTATCTCAGGACAGTCTTGCCTGATTAAGCAGTTCAGGATTCTTGTGGTATTAAACAATAACGAACACTATCCACAGAAAATTGAGTGAAATTTAGAGCTGATTAACAAGCTCTTAAGAAGTTTAGCGTAGG